TCACATTTCTGCCTGAGGGCCGTTGAACTGCTTTTCTCCCTTCCTGGATGTTCTTAACCCCACAAGCTGCTCTTTGCCTTGTTCTCACTTGAAATGTCACCCTCAGGGTGAGGCCGGTTATCACCCTGTGTGGGCACTCCCTCTTCCCCGGCCCTGCTTCGTTCCTGTGCTCCGCACTCAGCAGCATCTGGTATACGAGGCATTTACCTGTTTATTCCTTTCTCATCTCTCTCTGTCCGGTCCATTGTGAGGTCTGTGGCGGCGAGACCTTCATCTTGCGCACGGTTGTGTCTCCAGCACCTGGTTTATTGTAGGTGCTTGTTGAACACCTGTTTCTGAATGAGGGAGTAAGGTGAACGAATGAGTGTGGCTCAGAAACCCATGCCCTTTCCATCATGTCTCCCTGTGTATTCTTTGGCATTCGGTGTGTGGGGCTTGTTTGGCGGCAGGGGTTTTTGCTGTTTGTGGAGGAAAGAGATGACTACGGGGGGAGAATTGACAGTGCGTCTCTATTGTCAGGTGACATACCCTGGTGGCAAACTGACCTTTGACCTGGCAGGTGCTTGCCGTTGCTTTGTCACATTCGTATGCAGATGGCTTTAGAGTCAGCATCTCCTAGAGATGATGGACAATTAAGAAAGTGACTATTCTTTTTAGCATTCATTTTCTTTCTTTCTTTTTTTTATTATGTTCAATTAGCCAACATATAGTACATCATTCGTTTTTGATGTAGTGTTCAGCGATTCATTAGTTGCGTATAATACCCAGTGCTCATCACATCACGTGCTGTCCTTGATACCCATCACCTGGTATTCATTTTCTAACTAAATCCTATTACTCTGATTATTTGTAGAGACAAAAAAATGCATATAAATGATTTTTAACTTTTGCATCCTTTTAAGTTTTAAGAAGTGTAGAGCTTTTAGTTCTTTACATCAGATAGGCTTTTTAAAAATATTACCTGAAACTATTTCATCAATTGAAGTATTTATTTTGAACAGTTAGATTCCATATTTTCCCACATTCCTAGCAGAGTGCCAGCAGGAGTAAATACGTGTCGTTCCACCCAAATACAGTGATGTCGTCATGTAGAAGGTACAGGTGGCTCTGTCCGCAGCCCAGAGCGTACTCGGTGGAGGTTCTGAAGCCCTCCACTTTCTCTCTCTCCTCCATCCCTCAGACTCCACCTTGGGGGAAGCCAGAGGGCCTCTCTGATTCACATTAAGTGATCGCAGACTTTCTAGAACCTGGGAAGTGATTAGCTATTGCAGGCTCCGCCAGATGCAAAGTCAACAGGTAGTTAAAATGTCAGTAAAAGTACAAGTGAAATAATGTTCTGAGTCACCGAAACAAGTATTTATGAACAAAATGCACTGTTAAGAACCACTGCAGGTAATCTCTTTGAGAACAGTGGAGTTGTTTTCATTTAGAAGTGTTTTCTTTGCACCCTGGGTTCGGCTGTAGTGAGGTGAGATTGGTTCTCCTTCCGCATCACTCTGTTGTTTTCTGGTCTTGCACATGCCTGTGTTGGATTCATCTGTCCATTTTCCCCTCTGATTTACTTTTCTGAGCTCTCATTAATCTATTTGTGCCTTACTGAACCCTTTACTGTAGTACTGTCTTATTTTCATTTATAACTTACTCCTTCAGAGTCTCTCTGTAGTAATTCTGCCTTCTAGCATTTTACTCTCACATTTGCCACCCCCTGCCCCCACCCCATGACAGGTTGGACCAGAGGCAGCAGAATTGCCAGCCATTTAAAACCAAAAAGAGGGGCACCTGGATGACTCAGTCGTTGGGCATCTGCCTCTGGCTCAGGTCATGATCCCAGGGTCCTGGGATCGAGTCCCATATTGGGCTCCCTGCTCCGTGGGAAGCCTGCTTCTCCCTCTCCCACTCCCCCTGCTTGTGTTCCCTCTCTCTCTGTGTCTCTCTCTGTCAAATAAAAAATAAAATCTTAAAAAAGCAACGACAACAAAGGGAACATTCAGGGCTAATGATCACCAGTAAAGGAAACAAAATGATGTTGAGATGTTTTTGCAAACCAGTTGGTTCTCTGAGCCCATGTGTATGCCAAGTATCGAAGGTGCAGAGATAAATAAGGCAGTGTTCCTGGTGTTCAGTAGCCCATGACTTTTGTGGTGACAGGAAAGTAAACCAAAAAAATTACAAAACAGTATGGTAAATGCTTTCAAGCACAGATGAAAACGGACAGGCGGGAGGGAGTATGATCAACCTGTAGAAGGAGTAAGAGATCTTGACTGGACACTTAGAAGAATCCATGTATTTGGCATTTTAAAAATATGTATTTAGCACATATCTTGGGCTAGGCGCTGGGGATACAGTAGTGAAAAAGACTGTTCCTTACCTCATGGACTTTCTAGAAAGGAGAGAGATTTTAAAACAGCCAGTGTAATTGGGTCAATGAAACACCCATGAACCTAAAAATATGTGGAAGGAAGCAAACAAGCTAAGGTTAAATGAAGGACAAGTGTGGGCATCATGGCTGAGGGCCTACGTGAGGCAGAGCTGTCCAGTGGGCCTCTAGTACGAAGTGACTTCTCAGCTGGGACTTGAAGAAGAAGCTGTCCTTGCAAAACAGTTCCAGAAAGAGTGGTCAAAGTGGACGGAGCAATATTTGGAAAGACTCTGGAGCATTCAGCTCGGCTGCGCGCCTTCTTTCCATGCCCGTGAGGGAGCGTGGTTCTCGGATGGAGCAGCCCGGTCTCACACGGCCCGTTCTCCCAGCCCAGCTCACTTCCCAGAGCCGTCCTGCGGCCGCAGCCCTAATAGCGCAGGAACTGCCTGCGGCTGCCGGGCCGCGCGGGCCGCGAAGGGCGTGCGCGCCGAAAGCACATATGTGCCTTTATGGAGCATCTCACACGTACCTAACGGTTTAGTATGTCACTGAGTGGATAAACTCCATGATCTGGTATCGTTTTTATTATGTTTTGAGGGAAAATGGGAATTAGAATTTAGAACTGACGGGTATTTTATCATTCTTTGGTGAACTAAACTGAAGAGAATGAGACAGGATGAGAAAAGTGATTCCCTGCCCTCAGGGAAGTGGGAATCATTGTTTTTACGAACCTCAGAGGCCCGTGAAACATCCTGCAAGCTAACAGGGCAGCTGGGTATTCGTAGCAGGCCGGAGGATGGGTCGGCTGAGGGGTCGTTTCCTGAGAGCGAGTGGTAGAAAAGGAAGAACTGACTTTGAAGGGAACCGAATGGGAATCTCCCCCCTCATGCACCGAGTTTGAGAGCAGTTGTCATTGGACAGAACAGGTTGTGTGTGTGTGTGTGTGTGAGAGAGAGAGAGAGAGAGAGAGAGAGAGAGAGAGCGCGCGAGATCTTGCCTGCTGGGTGAGGAGAATGAGCCGTAAGTTCTCATGGCCCCTGATGGCGTCCTCCTTTCTTTACGTGTTGAAGGATGCTCCTGTTTGGCCAGAGGTGGAGTGGACACTGACCACTCGTGCTCTGAGCGCTGGGGCAGGTGGAAGAGCACCGGGTCTCCGTGGTGGGGTCTGAGCTTCCTCCTGCACTCGCTGGTGGTGTGGCTGGCCTGTCCCCAACGCCTTGCCTTCCCTGCACAACGGAGGCCGTGCGGGCTCCGAGCAGGTGACGCTCACTCTCGACCTGTAGGCAAAACGGGATTTCCCGGTTTCAGTGAAATTCCAAAAATATAAATAAATACCTTGTGATTAATTGTTCTGTAACAGGAACGTCTGTAAGCTAACGTAATAAAGGATAAATGTATGTCCTGGTGGCTTTCAAAATGTGGATTGATTTTTCCTTTCCAAACTATCCAGTTAGAGATTATAACATATGGAGAAAAGATTGCCATTTTCTTTTTTTTTTTTTTTTTTTTAAAGATTTTATTTATTTGACAGAGAAAGACACAGCGAGAGAGGGAACACAAGCAGGGGGAGTGGGAGAGGGAGAAGGAGGCTCCCGCTGAGCAGGGAGCCCGATGCGGGGCTCGATCCCAGGACTCTGGGATCATGACCTGAGCCGAAGGCAGATGCCTAACCAACTGAGCCACCCAGGCGCCCCAAGATTGCCATTTTCTTAATTGTGGCATGACTTAGAGCCCTCTCTGAAGGGTGATTTAGGCCAAGGGCTGCTCTCACAGGCCCTTAGTCCCGGGGTCCCAGACCAGCAAGCCGGACAGCAGGCTGTCCTCTTTCTTCCTCCCCCGTCCCTCCTGTTCTGTTCTACATTTCTCACCCAACCTCTTTTAATTTTCTACCTATTCCCCTTTTCCCAACTCACTTTCCACCCGTAGGTCAGCTGAGGCAAAAGGCAGCATGGTATGTTGAAAACTCAGCATCAGGAAGCCCAGGCCACGCCTGATGCCTGGGGGCTCCTTCCTCTGGCCTTGAGTTCTAGGGCGCCAATGAGGGGCGGGTGACGCTGCTCCCGCAGGGTCTCAGGTGAAGCTTGAGCAGGCATTTCTCCCCCTCTCTCTCTCTCTCTCTCTCTGTGCCTGCCTCCTTCCCTGCCCTTCCCTTCTCTTGTCTTTTCTTTTCTTTTCTTCCCTCCCTCCCTCCCTTCCTGCTTTTTTTTTTAAAAGCAAGGGAGAAGGCCTGGATCCCTCAGCTCTTTTTTTTTTTTTTAAAGATTTTATTTATTTATTTGAGACAGAGAGAATGAGAGACAGAGAGCATGAGAGGGAGGAGGGTCAGAGGGAGAAGCAGACTCCCTGCCGAGCAGGGAGCCCGATGTGGGACTCGATCCCGGGACTCCGGGATCATGACCTGAGCCGAAGGCAGTTGCTTAACCAACTGAGCCACCCAGGCGCCCAAGGATCCCTCAGCTCTTATACCTTCCCCAAACACAGCAGCCCCTGGATTATCTCTTTGAAATCCCTTCAAGATCTTTTTGTATGTTAAAAAAATGTCAGCATTTTGTAGTTGTATAAGCAGAATAAACTTTTTCATATATCAAAGTATTATTTTAAGTTTCTGCTTTCAAATACTTGTTTTTTTATTTTGTCACAGCCCAATGATGATAATTACCCAGAAGATCACTAGTTTGGCTTATGAAATTCATGATGGTAAGAATTTAGAAATTAATCTTTCGTCACTGAAAGAAATCCTATTCAAATGTACTTTCACCTGAGATATGACCCTAACTTTCTGCTCTGTATTCAAGGAGGTCAGAGAGGGGAATCTTTAACTCTGTCTACGTTAAAGTGTATTTATTTTTCTGCAGTGTTTAATCTCAATTTCACACTTGATCCAGTGACAAAAGCAGAGTAAAAGAATGGAATCCTGTCATAGTACCCACATTAGTGGCAATTTAAAATATAAAGGAAATAGACATTTGATCTCAATCAAGTGTTATTAGTCCCTGCTTCATCTCTGTGTTACATTTTTATTAATATTTGATGTTTTCCCCATGCCCCTTATCCCTTAATATATAATATACACACACACAGTGACATATATTTTTAGCATAAATATTTATATATTCGTATTTTATATCTTCAGTGAATGGACACCTTGCCATAGGAAATGCTAAAAGTCTGGGCCGTGAGTCACGATTTTGACTCTGGTTTCTTCACAGACTGGAGGAGCATCCCTGTCAGACCCGTCATTCGTAGTGGCCTAGGGAGCTTCTTGCATGGGGCTTTTAGCCCCACTGTATATATAGATCACCCATCCTGTACCCTCTACTACAGAAGACCTACAAATAATTTCTAAGTATATTGTTTGCCTCTTAATTTAGTCCTCCTTTGGTCTTTAAATTGGGCTTAGAATCTAATAAGGTGATGTGTAATTGTAAATCGTGTCCTCCTCTTTGGGGAGAGAAGGTAAAGAAATGGATGGAGAAGGTATATGAGTACAGTTTTCATTCCTTAGAGTCATCGAGAGATAAGGAAATCACTCCTTGCTTTATGTTGAGCTTGTAGCCCGTAATACTGATTAGTCATTTAAATCATCTAATAATAGAAACATCTTAATGCCCCCTTTTGAAAGTCATAGTGTTTGCTATAAAATATGCTAGGATTTTGGAATTTTTAAGTTAATAATGATTTCCTCTAGAGAAGAGTCGGATTTGTGCCCTGATGTGTTGTTTCTCTCCTACAGACCTAGATGTGTTGAGTTACATGGTGGTCCTTTGATGTGATTAAACCTGTGTTGCAATGAGAAGGAAAGGAACCGGTTATTCCAAAACTGGGATTATAGCTTGAATTTCCAATGAGAAAAGTGGTGGAAGTGTGAATGGGGAAAAACACCATTCTTTTCTTGGAGGAAACCATAATTGATAAAAGTCCCTATTTTTATTTTTCAGGGATGTTTCGAAAGGATGAAGAACTGACATCATCACAGAGGGGGTTAGCTGTAAGGTACGTGCTCTCTTGTCGTGTCCTGCCTTGATTCGCGCGGTCTCTGCCTCAGACGCACTTTACTCTCATGGCTAAGGCTGACTCATCCTGCTGGCGGTACTGACTTCATGAAAACCAACTTTCCTCCCTCCACACACCACCCTGCCACCACATCTTGCTAGGCTAGGCTGCCTGTCCCTTCTAAGGCTCCCATGGCACCTTGGATATATTATGTACCACGCGGATATCACTAAATTTTCTGTCTCTCCTATGATTTTCTGAGTTCTCTGAAGACAGTCTTCATGTCTGCCACGTAGTAATGAGTGATAATCGCTGCTTTTGTTTATAGACCGATAACTTGATGGCAGTTACTGGGCTAAGATATTTTAATACGACACATAGATACCATGTTTTGAAATAATGAAGAACCAGTAAGATCTTCTTGATATTATTTGAGGATTTCATTCTGGGTAGGTTTCTACTTCATTTATGATAGTACTTTGTTGACTAATCTAAGGAATAGCTTAATTTCTTGGAAGGCTCTATCTTAGTCTAATATAATTAGAGATTGAATCATTTTACCTGAAGAAAAATTCCTAGGAAGCCCCTTGTTTTCGGTAAATCTAGAACAAACAGATGCATGGCTGTCGGAAGAATGAGGTTAAGCTTGTGATAGTAGATAGACCCTTTTGGTAGCATGTCTTGGGAATCTTCTAATATTTTCCCCATCTTTAAGATTATTCTATTTTGATATTCTCTATAGTCAGTATTTACATATCAGTAGGTGTATATTTGAATATACTCAGAGAGGTTACTTTGATCTGGGTTCTGTGATCTTTAGGCGTCCTTCGCCCATCCCTAAACCTCTCATTAAGAGACACTCAGCCCCCCCGTTTCTGCCTTTCCCTCCCACACACCCACCTGGCAAAACCCCAAACCCTATTAAATTCGACTCTCTGCCTACCTAAACAGTGGAAGAAAGCAGAGTGGAAAACATTCATTGCAGATTGGACCTGTTTTGAGTGTGTTACCGCAAACTTAGAATCATGGCCTTAGTGTTGCCAGGAGTTTGGCTGCATCTGTCCCGTGCGCTCCCCGCTCCGCACCCCCGCCCCCCCTGCCCCCCCCGACCCCTTGCCCCCCCCAGCCGTGAGCTCTTGTGTGCTCCTTCCTCAGACTTACAGCACTCCCTCCCCTGCACTCACTTAGGGTGGTAGCAAAGTTTGATTCTTGGAGAAAAGAAAGGCAACCCTACTTCATTTTGCTACCACTAAACCTGCCAGACTGCCTGTGTCTGTAACAAATACTCCTCTTTCTGTCCCATACCAAGGATTCACTGTCCCTCATCCAATCCGAGGCCAGCGTCTCACTTCTCACTGAATCCAGCTGCTTCTCTTTAACTGAAGGCTTTTGCTTCCTCGGTTGTCCTGTCCCTTGCATGGTCACTCATCCTTTCCCCATCTTTTCCCGCTGAAAGGAGACACACCTTTACCTCACTTCCCCTTCGAGCTCCCTCCCCATTACTCTGCAGCCTTTAGAGCAAGACTCTGTGAAAGATGTATGTCACCATCGCCCCGTCCTCACCCTCTTCAGGCCCCCGCAGTCGGGTTTGTCCTCACCGCTGGTCTGATAGCATGCTTCAAGGGGACCCTTAATCTCGGGGGGTGTAAGTGGTCGGTCAGCCTTGGTTTGCACGCAGCTCAGCCTCTCAGCACCGTCCGATCCAGCAGACCATTCAGTCCCTGAAATATTCCTCTCTCGTCTTCCGGGACCCCACCCTCTTGGTTTTCCTCTTGCCTCCCTGGCTGTTTACTTCTGTTGTCTTTGCTGAATCCCCCCGCTCCGAGGCTCACCACTAAATATTCGTGGGCTCCGAGGCACACGCTTAGACATCTCCGTCTCCTCTGGGGGTCACATGCAGTCCATTGCCCCTAAATACTGCCTGCATGTTTGAGGTCTCGTAACTGTCCTCCCACCTGTCTCCTGAGCTCCAGCCTTGTAGCCAACTGCCATTTCAGCATCCCAGCGTGGATCTGAGCTGGCATCTCAAATAGAACACGCTCCAAATAGAACTCCTGAGTCCTGCCTCCCTCTTCCCTCTCCCCAGCCCACTACCCGCTCAGTTCACAGCAGCACCATTTGTCACTAGTGCCTTAGGGCGAAAACTTGGGCAAACTCACGCGTTCTTATTGCAAATCTGCTTCACTGGCAAGTTCACTCTCCCTTGGAGACCTGTCTCTCATGTGACCATGACATCTGACTGCCCCTGATCTGACTGGCTTCTTGCCATTCCCACTGAGACCACCCCAGCTGGACCCTCGCCCTCTGCTTGGTCTACTGGAACAGCCTCCCCAGCAGGGTTCAGATTTCTGTCTTCTTTCCCTCCACCGTCTACCTTCCACTCAGCAGCCAGAGGTGTTTGTAATGTGTGTTGGACTATATTTTCCCCTCCTCTGAGGGAAACCCCACAGTGGCTCCTCATGTAGTTAACTAGGAGCAGACTAACCGCTTAAGACCAGAGCTGGTAGCTCTGCCCCTCGTAACTACACCGAGCTCCTTGTCAGAACCCCCTTCCCTGCCGTCACTCTCTGTCCTTGGCCCTGCTTGATTTTTCTTCATAGTATGTATTACTGTCTGATGTTATGTATTTGTTTTGATTGTCCCTCTCTCTGTTAACTCTGTGAGGATAGAACTTTGGCCCATTGATCATTCTGGTCTCATGGCCTCAATGCAGTTCACCACTGAGGGTGCTTGTGGCCCCGCAGGAGACATTTTTGGTTGTCACGGCGGAGAGGGGAGGTGCTGCTGACACCTAGTGGGTGGAGGCCAGGATGCCGCTAAACAGCCTCGGTGCCCAGGACAGCCCCTGCCAACAAAGACGTATTGTCCAAAACAGTCCATAATGCTAAACTGAGAAGCTCAAACCTGGGACAATGTGGAGTTGATCCCAAATAAATATTTATGGAATGAAGGGATTCTTTCATGTAATGTCATAAATGAAGTATTACAGTTATACTTCGTTCTCATTTTAATAGCAAATATAATTATCTACTGAGTACCTAAAATGATTTGTCATTTGATACGACCATTGAGCCAGAAATTACTTCAGCAAATTTCACGGTTCAGAGTTATCTCCTGTCCTTGCAAATTGTGATACATAGTTTGACTTGGTAGGACTGGGCTGCGCCTTGATAACCTGGCATTGTTTGGGGCGGGTTGAGATGGAGCTTTGTGATGGGAGCACAGGAAGTTCTTCCGTGGCTTTTGATTGTCGGGCACTTACCCAGCGAGTGAGGCAGTGAGAAAGCATTCTCTTTCAGCATTACGGAAAAAAATGCAAGAGCAAATCTGCCAGCAACATTTTTCTCTCCTCAGTTTTGAGCCTTCAAGAGAAAATATGTAAGGCTCAAAACGCTTTTAAATGTAGAAGAATAATTCTGGAAAGATCTAAAAAAGGAGTTTGGGCTAAGTGGTGATGTAGCTAGTATCAGATGGACAGGAAGCACTGTTTTCTTGTTTATTGTTTTTTATAAAGGTACATATGAGGAGGTCTGTCAGCTTCTCTTGGCCACAGAGAGGGTTTGTGCTTTTTAAGGAAACAACTTCTCAGAGAGGAAGGAAGGATCGTAACATCTTCCAGAAGCCTGCTTCCCATCCTCAGGTGGAGTCGTTCTTCTATTGATTATAGTTTATAATTGTCAGTGGGAAGCAAACTTAGTAAATGGAACTGCTGGTAGAAAATAAATAAGGGGTGCCCGGGTGGCTCAGTCAGTTAAGTGTCCAACTCTTGATTTCAGCTCAGGTCATGATCTCAGGATTGTGAGTTTGAGACCCGCGGCGGCTGGGCTCCACGCTCAGCAGGGAGCCTGCTTGAGCTTCTCTCTCCCCCGGCCCCTCCCCCCTGTCTGCCTCATGCTCCTGCACATGTGCTCTCTCTCTTAAAAAAAAAAAAAGGAAAAGAAAAAGAAAATAAAGACGTAGACTGCTAATTCATCTATATGATGATGTATACGGTCTATATAGGTTCTTGTGTTACTAAGTATTTTTTACCCAGTTTCCTGCATTAAGATCAAGAAACCTTAGATGCCACGTGCCATCGGGACAGACCTCAAAGCAGTTGAATGACAAACGTTGCAAGGCATCCTTAATTCGGTTCTCCCTTGCACCCACATCCAGTCTGTGAGCAAACCCCCCGGGGTGTCCTGCCAGAGTGTATGCAGGCGCTGCTCCCCCCGCTGTTCCTGGCCGCTGTCGCCTCTGCCGGGGGATCCCAGTGGCCTCCTGGCTGGCCTTCTGACGTCCACCCTTGTCCTCTCCACACTCGGGCTAGAGGGAATCTTCGGAAACCGTACTGTAGTTTTTCATTGCATTCAGAATAAAGGCCAGAGTTCCTACCATGGCTTATAAGGCAGCCCTAGATGATCTCACCTTGGTTCTCTCTCATTTTTTTCCTGTTTCTTTCTCTGGTTCAGCAACACCGGCCTCCCTGCTGCTGGACGCACCCCATCTCAGGGATTTCACACTCACTGTTCCCTCTGCACGGAATCCTTGTCCCGGTTACTCACATAGCTCCCTGTCTCACTGCCTTCCCGTCTCTGCTCAGATGTTGCCTTATAAGAGGTCTTCTTATATATATATATATAAGAAGAACCCTTTATCTTTGTAGTACTTAGCACCTCTGAAAATATTTAGTACATATTTTTCAATTATCTGCTTTCTGCATCTGCTATGTGAGCTCTGTGAATGCAGAATATTGCTCTACTTTGTTATTGTAGCATGTCTAGACCCTGGAGCGTGTGGGCACGTGGTCAGTGCACACATGGATTTGTTGGGTGAGTGAACGTCTAACTGGTAGGGGAAGATTCTTTATGCCGTCTCTTGTCGGTCTCAGGTTTGTTTTATAATGAAGAAATCCAGTAGCAACCCTTTGTAGTTGCTCACAAAGATCTGTATGGAAACTCTCTTCTCCAGAAATACTGCTGAGCATTACCACATCCTCATCTTTGGAATTCCTATCATACGAATGCAAATGAAAATTAAAGCTTGCTTTGTGGGGCAAACGGGAAGAGCAGCGAGGTGGAAGCTGCTGATTCCTGCTGGGTGGGTTTTCGTGTTTTCGAAGAGCTTGGGGCCCCTTCTCACGAGCTGCGTGTGTTTTACCCGCAGGCGCATGCCAAGCCTCCTGGAGTACCTGAGCTACAACTGCAACTTCATGGGCATCCTGGCGGGCCCACTCTGCTCCTACAGAGACTACATCACCTTCATCGAGGGCCGGGCGCACCACAGGGCACCGCCAGGCGCAAGTGGGAAAGAGGACATGCCCTGCGAGAGAGCAGAGCCGTCTCCGAACGTAAGCTCATGAGGTTGACCTGAGCCTCGACAGCTTGTGTTGCGTAGTGTTGTTTATTCAGTGATACTAATGTCTTCAAGGTCTGAGCTTGCTGTGTCTTTGAAACTATCTTTAAGATAAATGACTCTTCACACTGCAGTTAGTAGTAATGTCTAGTAGCCGTACGATCATCATCAAAGAACAAAACTAAGGTTACTTAAGAAGTGGGGCACCGCTGAGGGGCACCCCAGTGGCTCAGTGGGTTAAGCGTCTGCCTTTGGCTCAGGTCACCATCCCGGAGTCCTGGGATCCAGACCCACATCGGGCTCCCTGCTCAGCGGGGAGTCTGCTTCTCCCTCTGCCTCTGCCCTTCCCCTGCTCATGCTCTCTCTCCCCCACCTCTCTCTCCCTCAAATAAATAAAATCTTTAAAAAAAAAAAAAAAAAAAAGCAGTACTGAGTTCCTGAGTGAAAACGATGTTTTATAGTTATCGAATATTTTACAAGAAAGCCATTTGCACGGAACTGACCCAGCCTAATTTCTTAGGCTTCTTCCTTCCCTGCACTTCATGTTCCAGCTAATTCAAAGTGTTCTCTTCTCCTCTCCTGACTTCCCTCTCCTCCTCCTGGTCATTGCCAGTTGAAATCTTACTCCTCTTTAAAGGCCTACATCAAATATCACCTTGTCCATGAAAGTTTTCCTGCTTCCCCACAATAAAACAGTTAACAGTAGCTAACACTTTGAAAGCACTTCCCGTGTGCCCGGCCCTGTTGGGGACACCTCACAGTGACTCTCTCAGCACTCACAACACAAGGTAGGTGCTGTTACTCTCACCGCTTAACAGATGAGGAAACCAGGCCTACGTGATTTGACTGAGATGTCCCAGGTTGGCAGCAGGAGAACTGGAATTCAAACACAGGCAGTCCTAGTACAAAGTCTGTGCCAGATTGCCTCACAACTGAACATAAGCTTTATTTCCTTTGGACTGCTGGGATAGGTACTCCTTTATCAAGAAAGGCTCTGAGGCTTTGTGTAGGCCGAGCTTATGTTGGATTTGATCTGGTAGAATCTAAAAGTCCCATGAGAACTAGGCCGATCAAAAAGTCTATGAGACAGGGGCGCCTGGGTGGCTCAGTTGCTGAGCGTCTGCCTTCGGTTCGGGTCATGATCCCAGGGTCCTGGGATCGAGCCCCGCATCGGGCTCCCTGCTCTGCGGGAAGCCTGCTTCTCCCTTTCCCCTCCCCCTGCTTGTGTTCCCTCTCTCGCTGTCTCTCTCTCTGTCAAATAAATAAAATCTTTAAAAAAAAAAAAAAAGTCTATGAGACAAAAAAGGGGGCTAGTATGTTTTTTCTCAATGTGGGGCTTGAGCAAAGGATCACCTTCCTTTCTAAGTTAACTATAAAATGAAGCATGAATGAGGAAATTTGCACCCATTCACAAAAGCTCTTATTTTATCTCTTTTCTGCCATGTGACTCGTGTTTTGTACCAAAAAGGTGCTTTTGTCTTCATACTTTCTATTACTGGTTAAATGTTAATTGATAAATGCCATATCATATGGGCTTGAAATTCAGACTTGAAATCGAGTACATTCCGATCTCTTCCATTGACTATTTGTGTCTCCAGGCTGACCACTTAACCCTTTAGAGGTCTCACTGCCACAGGAGAAAGAAAGGATTAATATAGATAGCTTCGATCTTCCAGAATCTTGTTCTGGAATACTGGAAAGAGGATTAAAAGCTAGGGATCAAGGTACTAGACATAATGTTGTAAAATATTTGAAAAATTTCAAGTGGTATAAACTTCTGAGTAGCAGTAAATCAAACCCAACAAAGAATAATACAAATTTATATATTCTGTCACCTCACTCTGAATTTTTATGGGATTCACTCTTATAAATGTGGCTTTTCCTCTTTTGGGTTGTAGACATCATAAATCAGAGGTTGTTGGCAATGGCAAATACTCTTAATCTATTATTTCACTGTCTTACTATATTTTTAGGGTAAATTCCATATGTGAAAAGTTTATATTGTCAGAGTGGTATTTACAAATCACTCAAAGGCATTTGGAAGCTCTTTGTGCATCACTGGAGTGTGTGGACTCTTGGGATCCAAAGTAGGACAGTCAGTTAGCCAATGGCCCTTTTGTTGGGCACCTCCCGATTGTCTTTATCTAAATCAGATACAGGTTTGGGCGCTGAAACAAGGACCAAAATCACAATGGCCTAAACAAGGTCTCTCCCACGACATCTGAAGTGTCAGTGGTCCATGGGTAATGTGGCAGGCAGCTCCATGGGTTGGGGATCCAAGCTCTCCCCTGTTTTTGCCATCCTTAGGGCGTTGCCCCCATCCCCACGGTGTAAGCTGGCTCGCCACAGGAGCTGTACTTGAGCTAACATCGCATGGACCGCGTGGCTACACTCAGCTGTGAAGGGGATAGTCACGTGTGGTCTAGCTAGACGTGCCCAAATAAAAATTCCATCTTTGTGCAAGAAGCGGAGGGTGGCTTCTGGGGAGCACTTGTCAGTCTCTGTCATGACGTCTGTAGAACTTTCCTCTGGGGCTCCTTAGCTTCTTAGTGAAGGATCCCTCAGTCTTCTGCCATCTTAGGAGGTAGATACAAACTTGACTGCTTGTTTCTGGACCTGGCCCAGGCACGGGGGCTGAGGATCCACCTCTCAGGCTGTAGACTTCCTCGAGTCTCCCCGTTTTCATTCTAGCACTTACCCAGCCCCCCACTCTGGACCCATGTCCCTAAGCCTGGATCTTCTCTGGTTCAGCTTCTCTGAGAGTTGACTTCTGCCTTCCTGCTGGAATGGTGGAAGGGTGCCCCTTTACTAAGCAGGGAGGCGGTGGGAACCAGGGGTCATCCCTGGCCTCCCAGGTTTAGGCCCTCACTCCTGCCTTCCAAGCTACCTGATCCCACATTGCCTGAGCCTTTGTGCGCTGCCTGGTAGTCGAGATCAAGTGTATGCTACTTTAATTTTTGTTTTGAAACTGAGACCTGGAAACTTGTGTGTCTAGTCTCACGGCCACAGTATTGCTCATTGTGTCACTAAGATGATACACCCAATTTTTAGGTTAATGTATGAGGCCATTTGTTTCATCTCACTGTGAGATTATAATTTTTCTCTAATTACCTGTTTTAAATCTCTTTTCAAATGTAAAGCTTAGATATTTTGGGGGAGGGGTGAAGAAAATGTAGCCTTATTGTACTAGAGAAAGCTTTAAAAAAACATTGAGGAAAATGAGAATGAAGGCTGCAGCAAAGAGTCCTCGAGTGCTCAATACCTCCTAACAAGTGGCCCGAGAGCAAAGACAGCTTTTTCAGAAATGCGGTGAATCTGGCATGTGCTTTGACTCTTGCCTTTGAGCCCTTTCTTTTGGCACTGTTATAGAAAGTGTGAAAACATGAATATTCATTTGCAGATTAATTTGAATAGTATTTGACTACTATGCAGGACACTCAAAATCCAAGCATCTTGTTATGTTCCATTACCTGGACGCAGCCTTTCCTTTCTTCCACCTGTTTCTTTCCCTTGGCAGGTGCTATAATCTCCCCTCTATTGAGTCAGATTGAAATATTCTGGCTTACTAAAAATACAAAACCACCATGAGTTGGATTCTTTTAAGGTGATTTAACCTTACCAGGATATAGGAAAGAATGGCCTTTTTTTTTCCCCCCTACCAGTCTTTTTTTTTTTTTTTTAAAGATTTTATTTATTTATTTGAGAGAGAGAATGAGAGACAGAGAGCACGAGAGGGAAGAGGGTCAGAGGGAGAAGCAGACCCCCCGCTGAGCACCCCCTACCAGAGTCTTTTATGCAAATCTTTTTTTTTTGGGTGTGTAGTTCTTTTGGTTTTATCATTTGTGAATAAAATTGCATTAGAGAACTGTCAGACTTAAAGGGATGCATTAAATTGTTTAGTGTAAAAATAATGTCCATGAAATACACATAGCATTTGGAAAATACAGGGAAAAGCACAATGGAAAAATAAGCTCTTTGTGTGTGTGTGTGTGTATAATACGAAATCCACTCCCAAAAGTTATTCATGTGATTATTTTTGTGTATTCACACCTATAGGCCTGTGTTTGCTTTCAGGTATTTTTTTTTTAACTGAAAGCTTTGAAAACACAAATTGAGGTTTCTAGTGTGTCTTGAGCCCTAATCCAGAGGTAGTAGAGAGAAGGCTGGACATACATGTTCCTACCGTGAGACCCTGAGGGCTTGACATGCTGAGTGCAGCGTAGTTTATGATTTTTGACCAGGAGAGTTATAGAGTTTATGCCAGATTAATCTGGCAGTAGTATGTCAGATGAATTAAAAGGGGTATAGATTAATCTTATGAAATCTTGTCTTGTTCTTTCAGGTCGCAGTCATTCAGAAGCTCTTAGTCTGTGGACTTTCCTTATTCTTTCACCTGACCATCTCTAAAACATTACCTGTGGAGTATAACATTGATGAGCATTTTCAAGCTACAGCTTCATGGCCAACAAAAGTCGTCTATCTCTATGTCTCACTTTTGGCTGCCAGACCCAAATACTATTTTGCATGGACCTTAGGTAAGTTGCCTGGGAAGGGACTGACTGTTAACGTATGGAGGTGTATCTTAGTAGCTAGCGGGGAGAGCGCCCTCTTGAGGATATGTAGTTAAAGACCAACTTGAAAAATTAGAGTCCTCTATTAGAAGAAACCAACTTTACAGCTCATATCCTAAATACAAGGGAATATCCTAGAAACTGTTAGGATATCCTAAAAACTGGGTCAAGGCCCATTTTATTATAGTATCAGATAAAGATGAAAATGAATAAATCTACTGTTTAAAAAGATCCTAGTATATAATAACATATACCTTCTGGGAGAACATGGTAGATTGTTATATGGATTCTTAATATGCTCTTTTCACTTTGTTTACTGCAGCTGATGCTATTAATAATGCTGCAGGCTTTGGTTTCAGAGGATATGATGAAAATGGAACAGCTCGTTGGGACTTGATTTCCAATTTGAGAATTCAACAAATAGAGGTTAGTCAATCATTTACAGGCTAGTTACCATGTGATATTTTACGTACCATACTTTGGTTTTACGGGTTATGATGTGATGTCCCAAGAGTGGTGTTGAAGGTTTTTTATTGATAATACTCATTCTTCCATACAACCAGTATTTATCAGTCATTCGCATGTGCACCAGGCACTGGGGATCCAGTGAGTAAGATTGTGTGATCTGGGCCCTTGTGGAGCTTTAGTCTAGAGCGGGCCAAAGGGGCACAGAAGGATAGGTTGTGATCAGAGAGGTGTAGGGTGTGTGCTGCCAGATTGGCTCCAACTCAGATCAGATAGCTCAGGGAGGGGTCCTGAAGGAAATAATGTCTAATCCGAGTCCTAAAAGGTAAGGAGGAGGTTGCCAGGCACTCCAAGGAGAGGAGGAACAGCATCCTGAGGGGATAAGGCTCACAACACAGGGAGTGGTGACAGACGAGCCTGCAGCAATTGAAGACAGGTCCAGATACTTCCAGAGGCCATATTAAGAGTTTGGAGCTCTTGAAAGAGCGATGGGGTATTGTCGATGCGTTTTATACAGACAAGCGAGGTGATCACAGCTGTGGTTAGGAAGGATCTGGCTGCATCAGGTAGATGAGTTGCCCTCGTGGGACAGAGTGGCCTGTTAGCAGGGTGTTGTGTTTATCCAAGGTGATGGTGACCTGAACCAGGGTAGTGCCAGTCGGGTTGGAGAGACATAAGCACCTGGGAGCACTGTTCCAGAGACCCAGCAGAACTCGGTGTTACTTTGGCATCAGCAAGAGAGAGTGAGTTATGAATCGGGACCAGATACCTGGCTTAAGCCAGTTTTATGGCAATGCCTTTCACTGGGAGAAGGAACAAAGAACAGGCACAGGTTTGAAGGGAAAGATACTGTGTGTTCAGATTTCAGACTCAACTAAATTGTCCGGCAGGCAAATAAATGACCAGCCACTAGCCACAACACCTGAGCTGGAGATCCTCATTGGGGAACTACCAGCCTGTGGCATTTCAAGGTTTGGGAGAAACCACGAGAGTAGCCACGAGAGAGCACTGAGAGACCCACAAGGGATGAGAACCCCCCGCTCCCCGGAGTACCTGTGCTCATAGGCTGGGCCGAGGAAGGCAGTCAGGAGGAGGAGCCAGAGAGAGAAGAGGAGAACTAACAGGGGACATCGGTTTGCCAGCCTGAGAGAATGATTCCAACAATAGAAACTACCAAAACTTTAAGTGAAAGTTTGACAACCAAGTTTATAGTGAATGGGTCAGGACCCACCGACGCACCTTAACATCACTGAAAGCTCATCACTCCAAGTGGAACAGTCTGTCATTAGGCGCCTGTGATGGGACGCCGTAGGAAATACAGCACCGTCTCTCAAGGACTTGCTGGGACAGTTAAACCTGGTTAGGTCTTTCAATCTTGCTAAATTTAGAGGGAGTGTAGAGTGTAGAGAAGTAAGTTAAGCACCAGATCCAGAAGTGGGGAATTCTGCAAGACAAATGACCCATTTTTTCCCAACAAATAAATGACATGGGAAAGAGGGGGGCAGAGAGGGGATCTTACAGCTTAAAAGAAGCTTTAGCCAGACGCACTGTGTGCACCTTGTTTGGATCACGATTGAACAGACCAACTGGAAAAACATGTTTTTAAACAATCAGCGATATTTGAATACAAGAGGAGTATTAGGTGATTATATTAAGGAGTAAGAATTTTGTTAGGTCTGATCTTGGTTTTTTAAAAGAAGTCCAATAAATTCTGAACTATTTACAGGTGAACCAAGATGTCTGGTATTTGCTTTGAAATTCTCTTAATGTCAGTAATAAAATGGGGAAGGGGAAGGAAAAACTGAAAATTGTGGAAATTGAGTGATGAATACATGGCAGTGTTTCTAACTTCCTGTTCATTATTGCTTCCCTGTGGAGACTTTGAGACGTGTTTTTCCTAATCAAGCCCCCATGAAATTTAATATCACATATACTGTATATCGGTGTATGTACTCTATGTATATGTGTGCTTTATATATGAAAATAGTAAGACTTTTTGCCCCCAAGAACTGGTTTTTATCATCTTGGGAGCAATATCACCCTTGTTGAGACTGCATGGTATAAGAGGAAGTGAAGAATAAAGGAGTTTGTTTTTCTGAAGGAGGGAACGGCAGTCAGTGTTAAAGGCTGCTGAGATGTGCAGCCAGAGGAGGGCTCACGAGCACCATCAGCTGTAACAACAGGGGAGTTTATTGATGATTTTGGTAACAGTGTCCAGGGAGGGAGAGGCATAAAAGCCAGATTATGCAACTCTTAGGCATTCATTACCTGTACAGGGAAGGAGGGTAGAGATAAGGCCACAGCTGCGGGGAACAGGTGATTGAAGGGGGGATTTTTGTTTTGCTTAATTTTGTTTTAAAATGGAGAGATTGACACATGTTTACCAGTTAGACTATTGGAAGACAGTGTGAAAATATGGTAGGGGGAGAGAGAGGCTGATGGACACACGAGGTCCCTAAGAAGATGGAGAACAGGGAGATAAGAGGCCAGGTGCAGGGATTGACCGTGTTGGAGGAGGAACCAGGGACGGAGGAAGGGAAGTGTGGAGGCAGCTGACTTTGTAGTTTTGATGTGAGAATTTGGAGTCTGATAGTTTATATCATCTCAATAAAGTTAGAGGCAAAATCACCTGTTGGGAGCGATGGAGGGAAGATGGGGGGTGGGGGTGGGGAGTGATAGGACCAGAGATAAGAAAGTGGGGAACTTTTGAAGTACTAGTTGGGATCTCCTGAAATTGCTGATATTTACCTGCTTTTGACTTACCAAAAAAAAAAAAAAAGTTTAAAATGGTTCAATCCAATAGCTGTTTTCAGGAAGAGGAGAATACACTGTTTAGGGAAACAAGGATTGCTTGGTAGGTTGAGGGCTCAACTGATATCAAGAAGGATGGATTTCGGACAGAAGTCTCGAAGGCTGTATGATATTCTGCACTCGGATTCAGAGGTTATAAGTAGGGAAGGGGGGGAAAGTAAGGTTGATCTGGGATTAGGATTTTGATAGGGAGGTGAGTGAAAAGGAAAAAGAAACAAACACACCCAGGATTTTGATGAGAGTAGTAAATAATGGACCATGGAATTTACATGGTGGGAAGGAAGTGAAGATGCAAGGAGGAGATAGTTACCGAGGGAAGGAGAGGTAGGGGACCAGAAGTTCCCTCTGAGGTCAAGGGGAAGCTTTTATGGGAGAGGCTTGTGTGGAGAGACTGGACAGCTGGGAAGACGGTGGTGATTCCAGGTGGGGCCAAGGTTCCGGGTGGCCACAGATGGTGGCCGAAGAGGCATGGAGGTGAGGGGATTGAGAGACTGGCTTGATGGGACGTCCAGTCCCCAATGAAAGAGTCATTGAAGGGTCACTGAAAGGTCATTTACATATCAGGAATGTCTTTGGGATAATCCTATGACAACCCCAATAACTTAACATATAGGAGAAAATAGTGATAATCCATTTATCTCGTAGATGGCCTCTAAAATAAATTCCATTTACACGATGATGTTACTGTATTAGAAAAGCAGTATTAAGGAAAGAAATCAGTACCTACCATCAATGTCAAGTAACTTATTTTTAGCACAATAAAATGTTATTACTTATATTTCAAGCTTCATCATTTTGTGGGCCAAAGAAAAAAAGTTCTTTTGTTTTTCAGATGTCAACAAGTTTCAAGATGTTTCTTGATAATTGGAATATTCAGACAGCTCTTTGGCTCAAAAGGTATGTTTCTTCAAGAGCAGGCTTTAGCTGCGCTTTGGCATCTAAGACTTGAGGTTGAGCTTCACCGAGTTCAGATTCTTGACTAAATTAACAGTGTGTTGAGTGACATTGGGACCTTGGTGTTAACCCAGGAAACACTGCTAACATCCCCTGAAGCGAGAGTCTATCAGATGTGAGAACTTTTCAGCCTGAGTGGTGAATGTAGCTCTCCCCGGCCTCTCGGTGCGCTCTCCCCGGCATCTTTCCGGGGTCTGAGATGGCTGGTGTCCTCCTACTCTCATTCCCTGGAGGTGTGTTAAGTAAAAACAAAGTAGCTACACAACCACTGTACAGATGCCCTAGATTTTCCAGAACAGTTCCAGTTTTAAAATAGTTCAATTTGACAGGTGCTTTTGCATGTTAGGCACAGGATGCAAGGATGAGTCCGACACAAAGACCCAGCCCCTGCAGCCAGAGAGTTTGTGATCTTGTTAAAAAAACAGCAGCGTCACCTTCGTGCACCATTTCCTGTAGGGAGGAAGAGCAGGGATGGGGGGTGGGGGGCTGTTGCTGGTGCTGGGATTGTGATAGGAGTTGGTCGCACGGCCAAGGGGGAGATACAGGCAGACCAAGCATAGCAGCATCAGTTAGGAAATTGCACAGAAACTCCCGGTGACTCTGCCTCTTGTTCCCAGTGAGACCTGTTACTCCACCTCGAGTTTATTTTATGAAATCTTGCCCTGTGACGGTACAGCTCTAAGCACTGTTCTGTGCCAAGCAGCCTGTTTTGGGAATGTCCTTTATTTTGTGACAAGTTGAGTATCTTTACCCCTCGAAATGCCCGCCATACAATAGTGTCACTTCGTGGTACCTTGCAGTCTCTCCACTGGCTGCAGATTCTCTGAGCTAATCTGTTGTGTGATTTTTGTTACTGTTGTATTTTAAATTTGACACCTTTGGGGCACCTGGCTGGCTCAGCAGTGGAGCTCATGACTCTTGATCTCGGGGTCGTGAGTTTGAGCCCCATGCATAAAGATGACTTAAAAAAAATAAATTTGATACCTTTGGAAAATCTTATTTTCATCTGAGTGCTTTACCCTGTTACTGAGAAATTTTAGTCTAAGCCACAGCCAGACTTGCCAGGAAGAAGTGTTATTAGGTCAGTTGAAAGTTCTTAATTAAACAAAAGTCATTAAAGAAAATTTTTAAAAAAGTAAAATAAAGTATCTTTAATATTAAAGATATTTTGGTAAGTCATGTAGATTTCTAAATACTGGCAATGCTCATTTTAGCTATTACACATACCATAAAAAGACGAAAATCAAATTTATTTTCCTAGTTAAGTAGGAGTGTTTAGTAGCTATCACCTCCCTGAGGTCACAGGTCAAGTTATTGCTGATGTTAAGTGGTGGCTGTTTTCCTGGTTACTCTCTGTCCTGTCAGGTAAGAAAAGAATGATCGCTGTGGACTATCTAAACTCTGATCACTCACTCCCCTTGGCTCTCCATGGTTTTCTGGCTTCTAGGGTTTGTTACGAACGAGCCTCCGTGAGTCCAACTATCCAGACATTCATTCTGTCTGCCATTTGGCATGGGGTGTATCCAGGATATTACCTGACGTTTCTGACAGGAGTGGTGATGACATTGGCAGCGCGAGCTGTGAGTACCCAGAACTCCATTTCCTACTTCACTGGTGGTCCCCTTGCGCTGGTGGAGGAGGCGAGGACCCCTCCACAGGCAGGCCTTGTGTCTGGGGCCCTGGCCAGAAGTGAGCCGTGTGCCTCGCGTGTTTGTTGAATGCTCCCGGGGGCGCCACGCTTGGTTCATCTGAGGAGCAGACTTGGCACGTGGGAGGTGCCCCACCAAGTGTTCATTGTCTTGACAGAATTTTCTGAACGAGAGCTAAAAACTGAGTTAAATAAAGAGGATCAGAAGGGTAGGTTTATTTTAGAAATGTTTCCTGAAAGCTGTCACGTTTGAGTCCTCTTTTAGAGGAAGAGTGGAGTATGAACAGTGTAGACAGAGTGGATGGGCCGTTCCTGGGCTGGTGGACACAGTTCTTTAGAGTGCTGGCCTGGTTGGAACCTGGAGTAGTATTTTGGGAAATAGTTGAGAAATTAAGTTGGTGACATGGGTGGACAAAGAAGAAGGACAATTTAGTGTAAGTCCTCGAAAGTCAGAGGCAAGTAACAGGACAGAAACGGTGTTTGAACAGGCTTCTTACAGCACTTACAGGTGAGAAGCCTTCGTTTAACAAACTAGCCGATACTCATGCGATTTTCCGGTACCATGGGGGGTACATGAGGGAAAGCTCAGAGACGTATTAACCAAGGGCCGTGCCTTCTGGCTGTTCGTGGTCTAACTGGGGCGAATAGGTACTAGCGTATGTACGTGTGTGTGCATGCGTGTAAGGCACGAGGCACGTGTCATACATCCCGTGGGTTTTGTAGTCAGTAACAGTTGTTTCGAGGTGAAAGAAATCCTTTCGGTTGGGTTGACCCGAGGTGGCCTCATTAGGAAAGTTTAGTTGGATTTGGGCTTTGAAAGATGAACATTATTTCAAAAGTGAGTGAAGTGTGATGGGGGTGGAACGTGACGCTTTAGGCATGGAAATGACATTAGCAGAACCAAGTTCGAAAGTGCCCGGTGTGTTTGGAAATGACAAGTAAATCTGGTTGAAGCAGAGACATCGTGAATACCTAAGGTGTAGATAATTCTGGAAGGGCAAAGGAGTGCAGGGGAGGGAGAGGGAGGGGTAGTCCTAGAACTTGAACACCAGCCTAGGAAAGGGCCTAATCCTCATTCTGTCTGCGTACGTGGGGGCCAGGTGAGGTTTTTAAGCAGGGGGGTGGAATGCCAAAAGCCATGCCTCAGGAGAACTGATTTGCCATCGATGGTTGGAAGGGAAGAGGGTGGGTAGCTGCTGTGGCCATGAGCTGGGCAAGACGTGGTGGGTGCTGGGGTCCGATCCGGCCGCTAGGAATCATGGTCTCTCTATGGGAGTGCCATTAACCATCCAGCAGGTCACTTCTGAAAAACCCGGTGGCATCCTCGCCGTAGGGCTGTGTTTCACCTCTGAACCTGTTAGACAAGAAAAGCAGGGAACACAGTAGAAAAGAGGAAATAATGTTTGGTTAAGTTTGTGCATTTCAAAACTGAAAAGTTTTTACTTTTTTGGAAGCTAAAAAAAGAAGTTTAAATAGCAGTTATTAGGAAACACCTATCTTGAGAATAATGTGCGTTGTTGCCATTTATTGTGATTAAGTGTCTTTTGACCTCAGCTCAGTGTATGATACCCATCTGTCTTTCACACACGCAGAGCTTAAAGGAGAGGAAGGATGTCTCATTTCATTGTAGTAGAAAAGGTGAAAACAGGCAGACCTTTATTTACATACTATACTTTACCAAATACGATTTAAGGAGCGTTATTTTTAACTTTTTAAAGAAACTTTTAATACAACTTCAAATCTACAGAAAAGTTGCAAAGCACTCCCACATGCCCTTTACCCGGATTCCCACATTTTGCTCTCTCCGTATCTTTTACACACATGCCTATTCATTTTTCCTGAACCGACTTGACTTCTCCCGCGGGGGTGGCCCCGTTGTAGACGTCCGCCAGCTGAGCTTGGGAATAGCAGTCACTCCTCATCCTTGAAACAGGTACGGTCAGTGTGATCTTATAAACAATGTGAAAGACAAAGCAAATATTTTTGTTTCTTTATTTCAGATGAGAAGTAACTTTCGGCATTATTTCATCGAACCTCCCCAACTGAAATTATTGTATGATGTTCTAACATGGGTAGTGACTCAAATAGCAATAAGCTACACAGTTGTGCCATTCGTCCTTCTCTCCATAAACCCGTCGCTCGCGTTCTACAGGTAAGTGTCACTCTCACAAAGACGCCAGCGGGAACCACTTTGTTTTGAAGAGCGAGCTCTTTGCTATTGCATAGCTTAGAAAAATAGCACCACAGCCTTACTCTCTGTAGTTACCTTTTCATCTTAAACCAGCAAGTCTCAAGTTTTTTATGGAATGATTCCCACCACTCACCCTTCAGAGGAGTGTGATTTAGACAGAGAAGTGTCAGTGGGGCGAGCACCGCCTCAGATCTCTCAGACGTTTAACTGGAAAGCGTGGCTGTTCTTTTCACACTTGGCTGTTAGCTAGACTTACCGCAGTGATTGTTTTGCAGTATGTGCATATATTGAATCATTATGTTGTACACCCAGGGCTAATACCATGTTATAGGTCCATGGTGCCTCCGGTTAAGACAGTGACGTCAGGCTCGATGCACCCTGCAGGCTGGAGTTTGCTCACCCCTGCTCTGGGGTCAGGGTGTAGGAGTTTGTGTGTTCAAGCAGAGGCTTATGTGTCACTGGGAATATTCTGGGAGCAGAAGCAAAATATGTCTTATGACAATTACGAGTAAGCACCGGTAAAGTCTGTGCACCAGGAGTTCAGGCTGTCGGATGGTTAACTCCGAAAACGACAGGATAGGGGAACTCGAAATAAGATGAACCATAGGGGATCTGACAGAGCAGTTTAAAAAAAGAAAGAAAAAAGTGTAGCTTGTCCTTTACAAAGAATTGTTAATTCTCTTAATTGCTTTGGTCAAAAGAAAATTGAATTACTTCTATTTCCTGAGTTTGTTCCCTTCTTATTCTTTTACGTTTCACGGATCCTTTGTCTTCTCTGTATTATAGAAGTTCTTGTTTTGAATTCCCTGTTAGATTTCTTTCTTTATTCTCTTCCTCACCCACCAGATTCCACTTTCGCTGTCTAGTGATATCTCTAAGATCAAAAATTTCACCTTTCATAGAGTTTCCACCACCCTTGCATTTAGAACGACAGCCCAGAGTGGTCAAATATTGTTGCCCAAATATGGCGATACTCCTACAGAAAGACATCAAGGAACTCCAGCTAAAATTCCCCTTTTCACAAAATTATCACATAAATTTACATGTGATTGAGCAGTTGGTTAGATTTTCTATCCCAGGTACTTTGTTCACAATCACTTGAGTTTACAACTCTAAAAGGTCACATTTGATTTATATTTGATTTCAGGAATGATGCTTCTAATAATATCTTTAATAACATGGTCTTGCTTTATTATGTGACAGCAACCATCGAGAGGCAATATTATCTATTACATCATTGGAATATTTGTAACTTAATTAGGGACCATACACAGCAGAGGAGGCCAGAGCATTCAGGTCTTGACCAGCTCTGTGTCCTCTTTGTTCGCTCTTAATGTTCAATTCTGTGGAACTGAGAGATTATTTTCAGGTCACTGCAGCTGCCAATAAGTACCTTTTTGTTTTTGTTCTGTGTAGCCATGGACTTATGACCCTTACAGAGGAATGTAATACGATATCTAGTATCGTGCTTTTAAGTGGCCTGGGTTTATAGGGTGCTTTATAAATACCCACTTGCTGAGCTGGAGAGCTTCATGTCATGGGGCAGGGGAGGGGGTGGGAATGCCCAATTAATGGAGTAAATATGCACATCCTACGCAGGGCCTGTGACATTTTGACAAGGATGCCATTGCTAAGGAATCATTCTCAAAATTTAATAAAGTAAACTTTGTCCTTTTTCTTTTAGCTCCTGGTATTACTGCCTGCACATTGCTGGTATCTTAGTATTATTGTTGCCGGTGAAAAAAACTCAAAGAGGAAAGACTCCACATGAAAATGTGCAGCTGTCTCGATCCAAACAGTGTGATGAAAGAGAAAATTCTTTGGGACAGAATAGTTTTTCCACAACAAACAATGTTTGCAATCAGAATCAAGAAATAGCCTTTAGACATTCATCATTAAAGCAATGAAGGGGAAAACACTCTGATGGCTATTTTGTCTCTGTTAACAGAAACCAATCTTAGCACCTTTTCGAGGGATTTGTGTTCGTTTGAAAAAGATGAAGTAGGGGGGCAAATGGGACGGATCTAGATGGGGAATTTCCTGTATACCAGATTGGGAATGGAGTGAATAACCTCTCCCATGCCATGTCCCTGTGGGTCACGCCTTATATAAAAATATTTCCATTATTTCAATGGGCACTCAGGACCTCAGCAGATGTCCGTAGGGTCATACATGTGCCCTGTTGCTGAATGTATGTTGCGTATCCTAAGGCACTGAAGAGGTGGAAAACTAACCCTGTCGATCTAGATGATTGAGCGAAATTACCTTTTCCAAATGAATGTCTTGCCTTAAACCCTCTATTTCCTAAAATATTGTTCCTAAATGGTATTTTCAAGTGTAATATTGTGAGAACACTATTTCAATATTTGATGTCATGTGCTGTAAAGGAATTCTGGAGGAATTTCAAACAGGATATTTAAGATTGTGGACACTTTAAAAATGCAATAAACATCTCAGTATTTGAAGGGTTTTCTTAAAGTATCTCAAATGACTATAGTACGTAGCGAAACTGTAAACAGTTAATGGATGCCAAATTATGGGTAGCTTGTTGTCCTGGAGAGTTTAATTACTTTGTGTCAGTCAGAGCCCATCAAGGAAGAATTTCTTCAACATAATTAAAGGTTGGTAATGTGATATTTTAAGCTTATTTTCTTAAAAAAAAAAAAAGAAAGAAAGAAAACTGAGCAAGAGAAGATGACGAAGGAAGGCATGAATGAAGGAAGCACCACATGGACCGGGGCTGGAGCCGTGGCAAGGCTGGGTGGGACAGTGCACAGTTGCTCAGCAGTTCTTTCTCTGAGTTCTTTGTGATTCTGTAAAGACATAAACGTGTAATGATTCCTTAATATGTTGGACTTTTAAATGAAACTTACCAAGCATAATTTATATAGAATTATAGAGGGATTATGAAAATAATCGTGGTAGATTGCACAAGGGCTATGAAGGAGAAATCACGGAGTAAGGTGACCATCTGTCTAATCACTTCCTTATCCTTGACAGCGTAACTCATAATTGGGAAAGTCTTAGAGAAATGAAAGCTTACAGTCATTGGGTCTGACCCTCATGTTTAGAGAATCAAAGAAATTAATTTTTTTTTAAAGATTTTATTTATTTATTTGAGAGAGAGAGAATGAGAGACAGAGAGCATGAGAAGGAGGAGGGTCAGAGGGAGAAGCAGACTCCCTGCCGAGCAGGGAGCCCGATGCGGGACTCGATCCCGGGACTCCAGGATCATGACCTGAGCCGAAGGCAGTCGCTTAACCAACTGAGCCACCCAGGCGCCCCCAAAGAAATTAATTTCTAAACTCTTAAATTCTCACATTAAAATTTTGCTTTAACTCTTTTTTTAAAATTATTATTTATTTGACAGAGAGAGAGACAGCGAGAGAGGGAATCCAAGCAGGCGGAGTAGGAGAGGGAGAAGCAGGCAGATCAGGGAGTCCAGTGGGGGTCCCCGATCCCAGGACCCTGGGATCATGACCTGAGCTGAAGGCAGATGCTTAACGACTGAGCCACCCAGGCGCCCCTGCTCTTAACTCTCTTTAATGAGTTTTAGATTCTGAAAGTAGCAAAGTGTGCTCTTATCCTCTAGGCCATTTTCACCACAATTAATCTCACCTCCAATTACCGGATGTCTCCTTTAATCCCATCCGGGCTTTAGCCATAGGTAGTAAATCCCAAATCCTGGGATCATGGGCTGGGAGAGAGGAGGGTGGGCAGGGCCTTCTGACTCCACCTTCATTTGACCAATCTTTTATTGGATTTCACCTTTATTTGACCAGTTTGTTTTCTTTTTTGCCTTAGATTTTTAATGAAATGCAAATCGTCTATCTCTGGTGAGTCTTTTATATTTTTGTCGCGAATAAGTTTGCAGATGAAGTTAGGGCAGAACCACTCTCTGGCTTAAGCTGTGCAGTTTTTCATTTAAAGGAGAAAGGAACAGCAAATGTACTTGGAACTTTTGAGGTCTTAATCAGCAAAAATATCAGTGTATCTTTGTAGAATGTTAGAAATATCCTAGTCTTTGTTTACATAAAATGTTTTTATTTTTCTAAAGGTAAATTTTTTCTACCTGCTGAGGTTAGCCATGCCCCATTAACTTCCCAGAAAAGGATGGATAGCTAAATAAATTTTCTCTGTTTTCCCATGCATTGAAATTAAGCTAGCTGTGTAATGTGAGAGGATAGAAAAGAATAATCATGGAAAGTATCTGTCCCCAAAAGGTCTCCTCAGTTTAATTAATGCTGCAGAGAATCTGATCACTATTTTTAAAAAATGTAAACAAATTTAGAGTTTAAAGGACAAGTCTAGGCATGTCATAAGTGAAAACAAGAAAGCTTAATAAAACTTTTTTTCAGCCCATCTGGCCATTTATAAATCATCCCTATTTATTTCTATTACTTATGTCATTTCTTAGTCTGTAAACCTAAAATCACTGTTACCTGTTTCTTGCTTGATGAATGTACTCTTAGAGCTGTCATGCAGACAGCAAGATGACTAAGAGTTCTCCAGTTGCTCTGAAGATGATACATTATCTCTACAGTTTGACTGATTTTCATCCCCTTGGATCAACTAGGTTTTTTGTTTTTTGTTTTTTTTTAATTTTGTATGAAAGGGTTTTTGGATAGCTTTTGTCTAATTTTGGAGAAATTATAACCATAAATGTGTAATCTAGAAGAAAAACTAAAATAATTCTAATTCTCAGCTTGACTTTTCTCCTCAAGAAGAAACTCTTTGTACTCTATGAAAGAATATATCTGCTTGGATGGAGTGTTATAAGGATTAATGCTTCACTTCTGCTTACAGTAGGAGATTTGAAAACTGGTCTGTCTCCCTCCACGTACTGCTAAGTATAAAGGGATTCGTTGTACTATGTGTTTCTTCTTTTTTGATCAACAGAACAAGATGCAGTACATATTTCTATTATTTCTCAACTCTTCGGTTGTCATGAAACTACTCCAGAGATGATCAATGACCATCATACTTAAACTCTTGATCCATTATTATACTACTCAGGGAAAAAAAATTAAACAAAAATAATTATTCTTCCCTCAGTTTCATTTTTTTGAAACAGTAACAGTTAATTTGATGTATCTCAGCTATCACCATTTTCTAAGTAGCAGTCTCAGTTTTTTAAAATAAGCATTTTTATTGGAACTCAGGGTAATTGGGGAAATTTTCTTGGCTTCTAAAACATCCAGCCTATTAGAGAAGGTTTATTTGGCTTCTGCAATGTCCAGCCACCACCATACTTTTGGTTAAAGAGTGTTTTTGTCATTGACTCCCGCCATGTGTGACATTTCCACAGATGCCAGTTTTTAGAAAAATGTGCGGTAAAAAGGATGGTTCTAAACAATAAAGGTAACTCACATTGAAGCACTGATTGTCCTGGGAGGAGACCCGGATGTTCATCTGGCTCTGTTATTAATGAGTTAGGATTTGGGCAAGTCACCTGTCCTCTAGATGGAAGTTCTTTAATAGGAAGTTAAAGGATCAGTTCCAAAAGTTTATGACCAATTGTGTTTGTAATCTGTGGGAGCCATTAGCAAGATCTGCAAGAGTCATGGACAAGGGCAGATTCACCATCAAGTAAAAAAAAAAACTCTTATTACTTGAGCTCAAAGCCCTGACTTTTCAAAAGGTTTTCTTGGCAACAGAGGAACACCTTCCACTCTGTTAAATCAGAAGGTGTGGCAGCATCCATTTTCACTGAATATAGCCCTTAAAGTGCATCTTTGATGATGAAATAGTCTCTGTTGAAGGAAACATGTTTTCCTTTTGCTTTTTCTGCTTGTTTGGTTGGTTGTGCTAGGTGAAATTGAAGGTGCTCTATGCTAGAAAATGTTAGTACAAACCACCAAGTTTACTGGACAGGGTTTACCTTATTTAACTTCTCAAATATTATTTCATTCAAAGATAGTTAAGGCACATTTCATTTAGTTACACATTTTAAACTACAAAAGAAATTACATTAAAATTTTGCCATACAAATAATTACAAAACTTACACTTTTTTAATTTAAGGACTAGATTACATTTAGGACAAAGAAAAATCTTTCCTATTTAAAATTCATACCTTGTAAGTTTTAATCTGCATATTCATGAACAGCTCTGGACATTTATACTTTTTTGTTTCCTTGTTACAAACTTTAAAATTGTTAGATAATTAACTGTAAGAGTTCTACATTATAATTGAAAGAAAAAATTACTGGAGAAAATAATTGTTTCGGAATGGTGCCTGTTATTGTGTCAAGGAAGGATTTGTCTGGAGTTTTAAATATAAACCAGTATTTTATGGAGTTTTATTCAGCCACCAGTCGTCTATCCTGGCTGAAATTGAGTACATCAGATTTAACATAGGTGTGGAGTTCTACATAACACTGTGAAATATAATCTTAACTGCCCTCAAGTACCTTATTAAACTCTTACTCTGAACCCGGTGTACATTTAATAAATGGCTGATGATTTCTACAAGAATCTGAGATGCAGAAAGTTCTGCTTTCCGCAGCTGTCCTTGTAAAAGTGGGTTTGTATCAGTGCATGGGCGCTCCTGATGCTCAAGGAAAAGATTTGCTAAGTTGCACCTGAAACTTGGGTTTGAAAGATCAGCCTGTCGAGGGTCTGCACAGTGTGTTTCTGCAGCACCGTGTGGCCAAATCAATTCATACCAACTCTCATTACAGAAGAAAATTTAAAATGAAATTTTCCACGTCGGTTATTTTGTAGGAATGCTCTTAAGATCAATGACTAAGCTGTTTTTGAGGCTCTCGTTGTACAGAGGATGCAGCCAATTACATTTTAATTGGTAGGCTGCTTATTAATGTTTTTATATGTTTTAAAATAATATTTAATAGATTTTTCATATGAAAACCCCAGTAAACAATGGACAAGCTCCATAGGCCATTGATTGGGACAATTTTCTGGCCTGAAGACACACTTTTATGCTGACTAATTTGTCTTGCCTTTTAAACTAATTATACTCGTCTTCTTCTAGTAAAACTTTTATAAAGCAAAAACAAAAAAAAACCCCCAAGACTGTATAGTTCTATAAAGAATAGTATAAAGGTCCATACAAAATCACGGTCTAAAGCTTACTCAATGATGCATAGCCACCTCTCCATTCATGTTTTATCAGATTTTGCTACTGTAAAAAGAAATGGAAATGTAATGAAAAACTGAAAGATACAGAGCAACATCAGTAGAATGACAAACCATTTTCCTAATACATGTTTGAGATGGAAAAAGTGACTGGCTGCCTTTGACAGGAGTCAGAAATGACTGTATCCTGCCCAGTCTCTATTTTGGGGTAACTACTTGGAGAAACTAATTTGGTAATATCCGTTTTTGTCCTTTCCTGCTAAAGGACAAACACATGTAAAGAGTTTGACAGACTTATAAAATAGGCCTCTTCCCAATTTGAAGTATTGGTTCTGTATATGCAGATTTGTCCACAAAGTACACTTGCCCCTGACTTTTTGTCCCAAGGAGAAAGGAATCTGACATCCCACCCAAACATGTCCCAAGCCGGTCTGCATCCCTGTCCCCTGGGCGCGACCGCCTCTCCAAACCAGAAGGGTACCCTAGAAAGCAGTAGGAATGAAAGTAAAAAAATAATTCAGGTGACACAAGAGAAACCCTTCCACATGCAGAGTGAGACTGTGGGAGTTCATTCCTGCCTTCCTCTGAGAGCCGAATGGTGATCTCTGCCCAGCAGGGGTTGGACCGTGTCACCCGAACATGAGGAGGGCCCCAGTTCTGGCAGCCGGTCTTCACAGCGCTCGTCAGCCTTCCCTGGGTGAGACTAGCACGTGGTGTTCTGTGCTTTTTTTGTTTTTATTATTCCGAAATATTTTTTTAAATAAGTGTTATTTTTCAACAGATCCATAAATTAGTTCTTGTTGTATGGTTCTAAATTTAAGCTACCACTGTGTCAGTTAGCCTGTGATGTGATAATTCCATGACTGCTCGTTTCCAACCTGTGTCCTCAGCGCTGCGCTGCTGGCTTATTGCTGGGTTTTAAAGATGTTTTTAACTTATATATAAATGTTCTTTTCTAATTTGTGTGTCTTTAAAAATGATTAAACTGTAGTTTAAAAATACGTGTGCGTGTGTGCGTGTTTGCTAATTCCAGAGGCTTTAAATTCCATCTCTAGGACTGAATACCGGGCCTGTCACATCATGAGAGGTGAGATGCTCGGTTTTTACTGAAGGATTCTTCAATATGATGATAATATTCTAAGGAGTCATTTTCTCTTTAACTGCTTAAAAATTATTTAAAACAAACTGTAGTCACATTGTAAATACTTTGGAAGGCAATTCAGACAACCTTAAATAAGGGGTGCCTGGCTGGCTCAGTCGGTAGAACGTGTGACTCTTGATCCCGGGGTCGTGAGTTCAAGCCCCATGTTGGGCGTAGAGCATACTTTAAAAAACAAAACCAAACCCTTACATCCATATATGGTATCTATAGCAGAGCACAGAGAGTCAGTCCCACTAGGTTCCTGTGTCATGATTTCAAACTCAAGGGAACCATGGAATGTGCTTCCAGAGGCTCTTCTAGACTCTGCTGTGAACTGTTGTGAAGAATCCTCCATTAATTTGTACTGTTGTACAAAGACGGTAGGCTGAACACGTCCAAGTAAATCCCGTCTTGGTGCTTTCTCACTGGAAGACCTTAGACTGTGATGGCAGATTTAATGACCCCATTTTGAGATTCAGGGCCGTGCTGAAATTGGGCCATGACCAAGAGCAGTACGGACACAGCGGCCCGAACTGCCTGCCGGCGCATCCCTTATGCGTATTTACCCTGACAAGCACGACAGCGTGGGTACTTAATTGGCTTCACAGTAAGGCAGGCCCCCTATTTTATATAGATGGACCTCGTAATGTGTTTCATCTTTTTTCTTTGAACTATTCATCCCACAATTATTTGATGAGTCCCTACCCATGTGCTGGGTAGCTACAAAATAAACCACTGCCCTTGGCTTCAAGAAGCTAATCAATGATCACTATGTAGTACAGTAAGTGCTTTATTCAAGGCAGGCTTTACAAAGGGCCTTTGGAATCAGGAGGGGGTGGGGAGCTTGGGAAGAGGCCAGGCTAGCTGTGCAGAGAGGCTCGTGCTTGGGTTTGTGAGGAAGTGTTTCACTGGCTGAGAAAGACCTGGGAGGGGCATTAATTAGAGAAAGAGGAAAAGCATATGTCAAGAATTTTATAGTATTAAACACAAATAGAAGAAAAATAACAGGGTTAAATCCACTGTGTGCCAACTGTCCCAACAATAACGTATCTTCCCTCCAATCAGAAAAAAGGCGTAATAGGAAAAAATTGAGTTTAGACAATTTTTTAAAAACAAAAAAACTTTACAAAATATTTCAAGCATATAGTCTGCTGCAGAACACTATAATATACACTCATGTGCCCACTGCTCAGATTGAATAGGTGCCTTTACCACATTAGATTCAAAATTTGCCTTTTTTTTTTTTTTTAAATAAAAAGCACATCGCGCATAAAGCCAGCATCCCTTTCCCTTCTCCCTCCCTCAGAAGTAACAACTGTGTCAGTATGAGCCTCTTTTGGTCAGCTTTTCATTTGGTTGCCTTTCTTTTAAACTTAGCTGTGTGACTGTAAAAATAATTCTGTGTTCTGTTTTGTGTGGCCGCTCTAGGTGTCTATAGCAAGATGGCTTGTGTTGGCTCAGTCAGCTTGTTGCTATAGCCAGATGTCAGCTCAGGTCGCTACTGTCATTAAAATATTGCATTTCTCCTCACTGGTAGAATCTCTTCCATTTTCTTATTACATATCTTTTATTTTTCAAATATGCCTTGTTTTGTGCTCATGTTATCTTTTCTTTGTCCCATCCTTCAGAGCAAGACCAATGGCGTCCGTTAGCACAGGCTGAGACGCACGGTCCACAGAAAGGCAGGTCCTGATCTGCCAGCCAGGGCAGAAGGGGGCGCACTGTGTCCAGTCGAGGGAGGCCACCACTGGTTGCTATCCCTTTTGTCAGGGTGAGTATGAGAGTACCCTAAGATCCGAGCTATTCATACCATCAATGGGGAAGGCAGCTGCCCACCACCCGGAGACCAAGGACTGGTGAGAAGATGAGTCCCCTCCAGCTGGCCAAGGGGGCCACCAGTCCCTCAAGAAGCTGAGTTCCTGTTTTGTCACTTCACTTTTAAATTCATGAATCATCTGCCTCAGGAAGAATGTGATAAACACCTTGCCTTATAGGATTAAACTCCCATCCAAAAAAAAAAACCCCAAACAGACAAGTACTAGAAAGCCATCCTACAATCCACAGCTGTACAATAAAGCTTCTTAAAAGTCAACACAGGCCCTCTGCTTCCTTACCTGACCCAGCCCTCTACTGAACACCGTATAAGGTCAGTTTTGACCTCTGGTGCTGAATTGTGGTGGTTAGTTTTCCCTTTTTGTATCACGTGCTCTTCACAGCATTTGGCTCTGTTGACCTCTGTCTTCTTGAGATCTTTTCTCTCCTTCTGTTAAACTGTCCTTACTTGCTTCTCCTGCTGCCTCTGGATGATCACTGTTTGCGAAGACGCCACGCCGGATTCCCTGGTCACACGCCTGACTGTTCGCCTACTTCTTCAATGTCCATCCTACCTTCTGCACCTAAAACTCACAGGCACCCCAAATTTAGGACATCAAGCTCATCATCTAGTTTCACCACCCAAGAACTTGTGATTCCTCTCGTAGTGCCTGTCTTTCTAGCTATGGCATGGCATGGTTACCCAGGTCAGAAACTGTGCACCACCCTTAGCCTTCCTTACCCACTGAGACTTCCTCATGTCCCACCTCCTGTACAACTAACGGACTCTCTGCTGCCCCTGCCCCCTCACTTCTCACCTAGTTCGTAACTGTGCTTGCCTTGTACCCTCTGGGCATGTCTTCAACCCATTCTCTAATGTGCAGCCTTGAGCCATCTCCAAAATCAACATGTTTCATTTTCCTGCTTCAAGAAGGAAACTGTTGGCCAAAACCTTTCTGATAAGTTCAAACGCTTAACTATGGCATAAAATCTGTGATCTAATAACCCCTGCTCATCCTTCTTGGTGCTTTTCTCTCCTGATTTACACCCCTGACAATACACACGAACTGCTATGGACGGAATGTGTCCCCCATGAGATTCATGTTGGAATCCTAACCCCAGGGGGATGGTGTGAGGAGGTGGGGCCTTTGGGAGGTATTCAGGTCATGGGGGTGGGACCCTCAAATTGCGATTAGTGCCCTTATAAAAGAGACCCCAGAAAGCTCCGTTGCCCCTTCCATCACGGAGGACATGGTGTAAATGTTGGCAGACTGCAACTTGCAAGAGGGCCTCTCACTGAACTTGACCAAGCTGGCACCCCGATCTTAAACTTCCAACCTACAGAACTGTGAGAAATAAGTTTCTGTTGGTTATAAGGCACCTAGTCTATGGTACTTTGTTAAACAGTCTGAATGGACTAAGGCACTCACCTTTGTAATGTTCCAGCCATGTTGGATAATTATACTTTCTCCAGTTTCTCTCTCCTGCCTTTCTACCTGCTGTTCCCTTACCCAGAAGTCCCCTCCATACCATATCCCCCACCACCAGCCCCGTCCTGCCTAGCTAACTCTGGTTTCATCATCAGGATACGGCCTCATTGTCGCCAGTCAGGAAATGTTCCATGAGCTTATACTATGTGCCAGGAATAATGATGAATGCTAAGCATTCAAAGATGAGCTACTTCTCTCTGGGGCCGAGGCATGAGCCTGGGCCCGCCTAAAGCCAGCCTCCTGGGCTTCTCGTGCTAGCATTTGAAATGTTCTTTCAATCATTAGACGTGTAAAATTGTAAGTGGAAGATCTATACCTGGCCAAAAAGGAAGTTCTCTCCTGCCAAAATTTATTCAAGAGAAAAACATAATATTGAAATGCTATACTCTAGACAAAAGAAACTTCCATTCAATCACTGTGGCAGCATGAGGTCTGGATGGCTTAGCCATTCATACGGGAACTTCCACCAAAAAGGACCACCGTCGTATACTAAAAATATCTACCCACACTGTTGTTTATGGGTCCAAATTCCTAATGGAATAAAATGTCAGGGACACATGATTATTGGAATAAAATTCCGTAGTTCTTCATCATTAGTCAGTTTCTCCCTGAGCAAACTGATTCAGAAAGTCAGATGATAGTCATTCGGGCTGTTTCCTTATATTGGATGTATTTTGAATCATCCTATTGTCTACTTTTCTGTTATTCTTGATAAAAGTTAATCAAAGTTTTCATTAATTTTATCTGTTTATGACCTACCTGTGCCCCTGAAGGAAAATTACTTTCAGGAAAAGCCTGTGCACAAGTATAATGGAAGAGAAGTACATGTGACTTACTCTCTTTACTGCCTCAAATACACATATAAATGTAGCTTGACGACTTATTTTCTGTTTTTATGGGTTGGAGTGGGTTCAGTGAACATGCAGCTTATTTGATCTGCATATTAACTGCATCCTTAATTTCTCTCTTTCCGGGGCACCTGGGTGGCTCTGTTGGTTAAGCAACTGCCTTCTGCTCAGGTCATGATCTCAGTCCTGGGATGGAGCCCCAAGTCAGGCTCTGCGCTCAAGCACAGAGTCTGCTTGTCCCTCTCCCTCTGCTTCTCCCCCCCGCCCCTCTGGCTCGCTCTCTATCTCTAAAATAAAATCTTTTTAAAAAAATCTTTAAAAGAAAAGAATAAAAAATGTCTTTCTTTCCTTCTTCCTGTTGTCTCTTTAAGTCAACCTCCTAGGTTGGCAACATGGTAATGTGTCGGCCTTGCTGGTAGCCTTGTTTGACTTTAGTTGAGCTGCAAACAACTAAAACTCAGTCTTTTTCATGTGAACTGATAATTAACTCTGTTACAACTTTCTTTCCTCCAGTTTTCCCCTCCCTGTCTCTCCCTCTCTCTCCCCAGCCCATCTGAGCATAGGGTCTTATGTTCCTTCTCTTTCCGGTGTCATCCTAGGGTGAAGGAAACTTTCGTGTGTGTGTGTGTGTGTGTGTGTGTGTGTGTGTGTGTGTGTGTGTGTGTGTTAATGCAGAAGGAACATACTAATCAAACTGGTCAGGGAGGACG